TGTTGTTGTTGTTTTCTACTTTACATTGCTACTTATTATTAAATATCTTCATGTTGCTGTTGTTGTTGTTGTTTTCTACTTTACATTGCTACTTATTATTAAATATCTTCATGTTGCTGTTGTTGTTGTTGTTTTCTACTTTACATTGCTACTTATTATTAAATATCTTCATGTTGCTGTTGTTGTTGTTGTTGTTTTCTACTTTACATTGTTACTTATTATTAAATATCTTCATGTTGCTGTTGTTGTTGTTGTTTTCTACTTTACATTGCTACTTATTAAATATCTTCATGTTGCTGTTGTTTGTGTTTTCATTTTTATTTTGCTGCGTTTTGTTAATTCTGATGTATTCTAATTTTATTGAAACTGAAGTATTTTTAAACTTCATCTATTCTGGAATTGTGTTTCAGTTAGTTTCCTTTCTTTCTACACATCGCTAATAAATAATCCTTTAGTAGTTATTATTAAGGTACAAAAATATGCAGGTATTTCAAGATTAGCTAGCTTTATTTGTTAAAAAAGATAATTGAAGTTGGTTTTCTGCTGACAGTAATTATAACAACTGTCGCTTAGTTTTATTGTTACAGATACTTGAAGCGTCACAGCGAAATATTTTTTTATCTATTTTGTTTCAGATTTTTACGATATTACAGTGAAAGATTGTTACGGTTTTGGTTCCAACACAACCGAAGTGAAACTGATTGATTCTGAAGGGTAAGTGACTTTAGATCGATAATTGTTGACTTTTGTTACCCGTACTGACTGTTGTTGATATAAGTAACTTATCCCCTAATGAATGCAATATCGTGATTTTTATGTTGTGAGTATTGAAAGCGCATAACCGTGAACCTAAACTATTTGTTGACGTATTCTTGAAGACTTAAGTCAGGCCTACAATCATTACAAATATGTACATATTATTGTAGCCCTCAGTCAGGCCTACAATCATTCTAAATACGTACATATTCTTGAACACCTCAGTCAGGCCTACAATCATTCAAGACTTCAGTCAGGCCTACAATCATTCTAAATATGTACATATTATTGTAGCCCTCAGTCAGGCCTACAATCATTCTAAATACGTACATATTATTGAACACCTCAGTCAGGCCTACAATCATTCTAAATATGTACATATTATTGTAGCCCTCAGTCAGGCCTACAATCATTCTAAATACGTACATATTGTTACATATTGAAATTTCGAATTGTCCGAAGCGGAGTTAGATAATTTAACTTTAGTAGTTAAATTGTACTTTGGATTTAGTATTTAAAGATATTGTTTGTTTGTTAGTAATTAAGCACAAAGCTACACAATGGGCTATCTGTACTCTGCCCATCACGGGTATCGAAACCCTGTTTCTAGCGTTGTAAGTCCGCAGACATACCAAAGTGCAACTGGGGGGGGGGGGGGCATTTAAATATATGCCGATAGATTAGTCAATTTACGATATTTGCCAACAAGATTGATACACACCGTTTTCGTTTTTAACACAAATACGTTTTAATATACACACAACAGTTGGGTAATGTTTTCGTAAAAATACTAATGTCAGATGAGTTAAATGATTTGTAATATTCGAGATTTATAAATATTCATGGTCAAATATCTTAAGTTTTCCGATTGATAAGCGTTATAAAAATCACAATTATAACTTTCGAAGTTTATTGCACACTGATTATAGCGAACTACTAATAGACACTCCATACAACTAATGGTTGTATTTATAGGCGTGGAAAGGTTTTCTAGAAAATTCAGATTACATAACAATACCGAGCTATATTTAAACGTTTAGGTATATAGATATATTGTTGATTCCTTCTCTCGAGAATCTTCTACAACTTTGGAAAATAGGCGGGAGTTTCGCAATTCATATCTAACACTACAAGCTATGCATGTTTTTAAATATAAACTTCATCTAAACAAACGTTGATATCAAAATAAATATATAATAACAAATTCGTTACAATATTCTTGTAGCCCTCAGTCAGGCCTACACTCATTTTCTCGTACCCCTCAGTTAGGCTTACACTCGTTCTAAATAGAAAATATGTGGTATTACAATGTAGTCTTAGCCAGTAGAATATAAACAAGAAGTTCGATGGAAATATGTGTCAGGAATGGGAAAAATTTTCGCATTTCACTCAAAAAATATGGGCAAGTCATCGAGAGCTGACGAATCGACGTGCCTTGTTCTCACTGTGATTCACTGATAAGTCTGACTCTGGAGGATTTTCATGCCAAAAAGATTTGATACTTGCAGTTGGTAGAGCACAGATAGCCCTTTGAGTAGCTTTGTGTTTAACTAAAACCAGACAAAGAAAGCTGCCTCCTTTAAATCTTAATATGCAAAAACTAGTTTGAAAAAAAAATCTATATAGCAAATTTACATATTTTTCGAGAGCTGGTAACGAAATGTGCGTTATGTTGATGTGCGACACCTGCCTTACTCGTATTATCAGGATCGCTTTTATTTTATTTTTTATTGCGAACAGCGAAAGTTTCCAGGTTCCCTGGTCTGCAGTTTGATTAATTCAAAATTCTGACTGAAGTCTTAGTTCTTATTCTTTGTAACAAATAAAGCATGTTTTTATCAAATGAGTAACAACGGGTGTTCTGGTTGCGTCAACTTTAAAAATGGCTGCCTTCTCTTGTTTACAACAATGATCTCAACAAAGGTATTTTCAGGCTACCTCTGTATTAGCGCTTTTGTCCTAGACCTTTGGTAGTCCATTCCAATCCTTCTTCATTGTGTTCTTCCCTTTCTTTCTGGGAATCGTGAGTAAGCCCATCTTCACTTTCTTTCTGGGAATCGGGAGTTAGCCTATTTTCCCTTTTTTTAGAATCTTGAGTAAGCCCATTTTCCCTTTCTTTATGGGAACCTTCAGTAAGCTAATTTCCCCTTACTCTCTCTAGAGATCTTCAGTAAGCCCATTTTCCTTTTCTTTTTTATGAATCTTCAGGGAGCTCATCTTCCCTTTCTCTCTCTGGGAATCTTAATTAAGCCCATCTTCCCTTTCTTTCTGGGAATCTGAGTGAACTCATCCTATATACGTATACAGACAGGTTGTATTTACATTATTACATAAAGAATTGTTCTACATTTAACAAACTCCCAACGTGAACAAAGCATGGACATTTCTTCCAGCTGCTGTGATACCAACTTCCACTCCAAGTTTAACTTGAACAAATCATAGACATTTCTTCCAGCTGCTGTGATACCATCTTCTTCTCTAAGTTCGATTTCAACAAATCATACATGTTTCTTACAGGTGCTCTGATACCAACTTCCTCTCCAAGTTCAACTTCGACAAATCATACATGTTTATTACAGGTGCTCTGACACTAACTTCCGAAGTTTCACTTCAACAAATCATGGACATTTCTTTCAGGTGCTCTAAGACCAACTTCCTCTCCAAATTTCGCTTCAACAAAACAGCCCAGGCGGCAGATGCTGTGTTATTTTCTACCTTCAAGTTTCCAAACACACAGAAAGTTCACCTGCAGTGTGATATTATACTGTGTAAACGGAGTTGTCCCCAAGTAAGTTGTGCTGATAATGAATCATTTTGTTCATACGAATATTATGCCAGTAAATGTTTAGGAAATAATTGTATCACGGAGTGAATGTGTGGAAAATATCTGCATCACGGAGTGAATGTTTAGGAAATATCTGAATCACGGAGTGAATGTTTAGGAAATAACTGTTTCACGGAATGAATGTGTTGAAATATCTGCATCATGGAGTAAATGTTTAGGAAATAATTGTATCACGGAGTGAATTTTTAGGAAATATCTGTATGATCGAGTACATGTTTAGGAAATATCTGCATCATGGAGTGAATGCTCAGGAAATATCTGCATCATGGAGTGAATGCTCAGGAAATATCTGCGTCACGGAGTGAATGTTTGGGAAATATCTCCATCGTCGAATTAAAGTTAGAAAAATATCTGCATCATGAAGTATATGTTTAGGAAATATCTGTATCATGGAGTATATGTTTAGGAAATATCTGTATCATGAAGTATATGTTTAGGAAATATCTGTATCATGAAGTATATGTTTAGGAAATATCTGTATCATTGAGTAAATATTTTGGAAAGAAATATCTGCGTCATGGAGTAAATGATTGGGATAGGAAATATCTGCGTCATGGAGTAAATGATTGGGATAGGAAATATCTGCGTCATGGAGTAAATGATTGGGATAGGAAATATCTGCGTCATGGAGTAAATGGTTGGGATAGGAAATATCTGCGTCATGGAGTAAATGTTGGGATAGGAAATATCTGCGTCATGGAGTAAATGATTGGGATAG